TCTGAAAAACACATATATTGAGGGTTAAATTTACAAAGATAAATGAAACTATTAGTCAAATTGTGGTCACACAAGCAAAATTGTATAATTTAGCTTTATTATTATTTTGTGGAAGGTTATTTCCAATATTGAACAGGTAGAGAATGAAAAAGGTAACAAGGCTAGTGGTACAAAAATATAAATTATATTCATATATAAACTAAGGCTGTTGTGAGAATTTTGAAGCATAATTTCCATATAGGAATATCCACGTTATGACATAATGAAATTATGTAAAATTTAAATGATAGGAACAATATTAAACATACTCTGAATATCTGATACCTTTAAATGTTTTTAATTAGTTAACTCATTAGTTTCAACAACTGGATTTACTTTTTCAAATTACTGTTGTTTCGAATTGCCTTTATTCTTCAAAGTTAATAAGATTATCCACTTGGCCTACCATATATAAAGGGGTATTTTTTTAAAGGTCCAGTGAATGGTGATCATTTTTGCTTCTAGATTGCACGTGTCATAATTTGTTTTCCTTATTAGCCATGATTAATTTTTAATTTTCTTCTAATCAGTGATCATTATTTGAAAAACATTGTATACTTTATCTCAGAAAATATGAATTATATAGACATCATGTATGTTTACGGCATTAAAATTATTTTGATATTTTCAGACAGTATTGCCACACTTAGCACTTAGTGTTAGTACAGTGCATAGTGAAAATCGGCACTTATTATGACCGATAAAAGCTCTTCGTATACATACATTATATAGTTTGTTTTATAAATATATTTGCAATCAAAACTTCAAATACCAAACGTGATGTGGATTTTAATTAATAAATTCGTTAATATTACTAAATCATTCAGATTGACAACACTGTAGCTGTCATTTTACTAGCTTGAAACATAAAATTGGTTAGGATCGCTTGAATACTCTAATCACACATTATGATTGTCTGTGCTTTAATTTCTGATGTGAATTGACATTTGAGAGGACCCGAGAGAGATGGTCAGATAACAAAACAATATGCTGGATCGAGATGAATATAAATAAGTCAGAATAGAAAATCATTGAGGAAATGGGTTGCGACCATGGACACAGAATAATAAACAATTGTTATTTATTCATTGCCATGGACATATATATTAACAGACGTTCAATGTACAATGTTTTTTGTTTAAGTTAATAATATATCATAGACGTATCTATATTTACGTTTGTTCGTTTTAATTAGATACAATTTTGTCATCTGCTGCAGACACAAAGTACAGTCACCTCATTGTTTAAAAAAGAGAAATAATTCTTTTTTAAGAATGGTCACAGTATATTGTTTAAATCGTAAACTGTGTCTGCAGATATATTTAGTTTATCTGTTGTAACTTTTTCTAAAAAACGTATTCATTCGAACATCATATTGTATAGTTTCCTTATTTTTGGTTCTTTTTTAAGCACATCATATTTTTTAAACATAGTTACTTGTGAACACATTATTACTTATGAATTATTAAATAGTTCGGAATATTTTCTGTTTTAAATATAATATTTCTTATTACAACATCATTTGCATCGTATCAATTCATTGAGGCTTTAATTCGCACTGTGGAAGACGCAAAACAGTCATTTCCCTTTTTTGCCATTTTGTCAATTACTTGTGTAAAATACATAAGTGTTATTTGATTTCTTTAATTACAAAATTTCCCGCGATTCTGCTTTTATTAAATCTCCAATAAAATAAATATCATTGGTGTAATAAGTCTTACCCATTAGCCGTCAAGCAAAGAAATACTGCAATAATACGTAAGATAATATTAACTAAGGCAAAATAAACTTAAACATTCGTAAAAAATTGTTAATTTTCCACTTTGAACAAAAAAATGGTTCGTTTTTCGAACCTTTGACGGAACTGAGATATAAAATTGAAATACACAATTTCAATTTTTGTGAAAAGTGTCAAAACATTTATAGTGTAGATGCACCTGGCATTTTTGACAAATAAAAACAGTATGGTTACAACACTGCTTCCACCTTCTTATTGCATTTTCTGCATGCTTTATTACTAAATGACCTACCTTATCTTTTCGGATTTCATCCGGTAAGCTATTTTTCGACGGTCTACCCATGTTTACTGTCAACAATACAGTTGACTTTTCATCTTCTTCACTCTCATTCTTTTTCTATTCTTCTTGTTCATCTTCAGATTCTATTAGATAAACAACAATTTATGACAGAAAATCGATTTGGGAAATGGAGCTTTTATTTGCCAATCTATAAAGTTTCCAGGCATTTATAATGGAACTATCAATTACGTTATTAAAAAGTGGCCACCACCATTTCTTTCCTCGTACAGCAATCCTCTAATTCGGTATGCCGTTGTCATGTAAGTCATCGCCGCCCATATATCCTTTGTATTCTTGGAAAACATTCGGCATGAGTATATTTACTTCTTTGCACTGCTTGCGATCGTATTTTTTACCTCTTTGCAAAGCCTATGGGACGGACCGGACAATTATTGGAGATTACTGTTACGACTGAGTTGTCATTCCAGCTAACTACAGAAGTACTACTGTCTACTGTAGTACTAGTAGTAGTTAGTACTACTAACTACTGTCAAAAATGAAGTCGAACGATCCTATATCATTTTTAGAAATAATTTTCTAAAAGACATTTTCCAATTCTGATTTCTTGCACTTCTTTCTTGCACTGTGCCAGCTGCATAAATTTCCTTTTCTTTTAATATTGTGAACAGCTTATAAGATGAAAAGAAGTTGTCAAAAGTTAGGAATAGGAAATCATAAATTGGAATAGGTATCCATCAGATAAACAATGGGTATATACAGCTTTTTGCGACACTCCTAAGGGCGAGCGCCCACCAAAGTGGCGTGGCAAGTTGCACGTAGCAAGTAGCACGCGTCTAGCATGTTTTTTAAAATGTAACCAATGAAAACAAATGATTAGAATGAATGACGTCACTGTCATTTTGGTGTACGCTGAATCATTCGTTTTCATTGGTTACATTTTAAGAAACATGCTAGACGCGTGCTACTTGCCACTTGCTACGTGCCACGCCACTTTGGTGGGCGCTCTCACTTAGGGCGAGTGCCCACCAAAGTGGCGTGGCAAGTAGCACGTAGCAAGTAGCACGCGTCTAGCATGTTTCTTAAAATGTAACCAATGAAAACGAATGATTAGAATGAATGACGTCACTGTCATTTTGGTGTACGCTGAATCATTCGTTTTCATTGGTTACATTTTAAGAAACATGCTAGACGCGTGCTACTTGCCACTTGCTACGTGCCACGCCACTTTGGTGGGCGCTCTCACTAAGACTTATTTTATTCCTTTAGTTTCCGTAGGTCAGTGCATCACTATTTTAAAAAAGGTTTATAAAAATATTTAATTGTAAAATAATGCAGTTTATTTATACAATATTACAAAATTTAAACAGCATTAGCTTCTTTTCTCTTGATTCGTATTGCCAATATTATAATCTAAAAAAATAATAATAGTAAATGGAAAAGTAGTGTATAGTTGCCTTCATATTTCTATCGCCTATCAAAAAAACTGGCGGTACAAATATTTAAGAAATTCAAGTAGCCGCTGTCCAGGGACGTATCGCGATATTGGTTGTTTTAACTACACAAATTTATTGATTTAAGTATTAAATCATAAAATAACCTTAATGCCATAAGATTAATAATAATTTTATGACATTGTTACAAAACGCTGCAAAAGAAGTACAATCAAACGATGTAGATATAAATACAGTCGGAAATAGAATAAATATTCTACTGGAAATTAAAAAGCTCATTGCTGAAAAAAGAAGAGCAAGAGCAAAATGGTAACAAAGTCGGAATCCAGCGCATATAAAGTTTTACAATCACTTAACTAATAAACTAAAACACAACTAAATTGCAAGAGAATAATTAGTCCAAAAATACGCAACATAATATGACTATTCAATGTGGAAACCAATCAAATCATCTTTATAACATAAAACAATGTCGCCAACAGTACAAAAAAACCACAGACACACAGAACCAACTGGCCTGAAGCAATAAAGAAAAATCAGAATTATTTTCTGAACATTCAGCAACAGTATTCCAACCACACAACAACGAAGAAGATCAAGAAATTATTAATTATTTAAATTCAGAAAAACCATCACGAAAGCAAATAACTCTAACAACGCCAAAAGAACTTAAGAGCTTACTTGAGACTAAATATCAAAAAGTCACCAGGAATTCACTTTATAACACTAAAAAATGCTAAAAGAATTGCCCAAAAAGGGGTATAGAAATCCTTACATATATATTTAATTCAATATTAAGCTGCAATTATTGACCCAATAATCTAAAAATTGTAGAAATAATTTTATTCTCAAATAATATTCTCACTGGAGGGGACCACATCACGCCAGAACCAAGGGACAGAACCTTAACTCATCACATTAACTTATAGAATATATTTTTTTATTCTGATTGTTAATTTATTAGTTATAACGTTGTTCTCCGAGTGCAGAGGTTCCCTCTCACCGGCTCTGGAACCCAATTGAGCCATGTGTTACCTATAGTCAAATTTAATTTAATACTGAACATCACAGTTATTTTATAACACAATGTACAATATTTTATAACTAAATGTAATTTAAAGGGTTTTTACCCTAATATTTTGGTGGCTCAGGCATTGTGACCTAGCATTTTCGATTTTAATAACCTGATGATGGACTGTGTGGTCCGAAAACGTTTGTTTTATTGATGTGGCCCTTTTAAGGGTTTTTTAAATAAATATACCCATTTACAAAGATTAACCTCTTTTTGTTATACGTGGTATACAGCCAGCTACAGGAATTTTTCCTTGTGGATTTTTATAATAAAAAATGTTGTCCCTTGTTGAGAGGTTCTGCAGAACTCTGAAATATTGTGTTATTCTAAAGAAAATATTAGAACCATGATCATAAGTGTAGAAACCGAAACTGGGGTCAAGAAATAACAAAAGGCCTACAATACAGAACAAGCTATAATAAAGAATGTAAACATACAGAAATATAAATTTCAAAAATTACTAAACTTGAGTGAATGCAATCCATATAATATTATCTATATATAAAGTTGAGGCAGAAGGAACTGTGGATAAACCTTACCATCATAATCATCCGGCGCTGTCGTGGTTGTTTCTACAGGCGAAGATTTTCTAAAATATAATATAGTTTTAGTAAGTTACAATAACTCGTTAATTTTTTTAGATACACGGCTGTACAGAAAAAACGAACAATTAATGTATTGTTATTACTAGACAAGGCGAAAAGCTCATGTTCGTTCGCAAAAATATACCCATGAGATTTTTTTGCATACCGAATCATTTTCAAGAGATATTTCAAAATAAGAGTCGCCCAGGTGAAAAGTTGTTCAAATATTTTTAAACAATTTTTTTTAAACAAATTGTAACAATCAATTTTTTTAGGCCCGGACAAATGTTTTTTAGGTTAAAAAAAGTTTGTCCGAGCCGATAATTCACACTATCCATACATTTTAATTAATATAAACACATTCTAGAATAGCTTATAGCGCATTCGATTTGATGTATTTCAGGCTGATAATAAAAACCTTCAAGCAAATCGCTGACCAATATAATAATCCTTTTGCAATTCTTTAGAAGTTCTACCTAAGATGTACTTAAAATAATCTGTGTAGAGTAGAGTAGAGTATTTTATTTAACTACATAACAAATACAAATCTTCTATTTTCTGTGAATTTCAGTTAGAATTTAAAATATCAACAGAGTAGGTAGCGACATAATTTTGAATTAGATAAAGAAAGGTGGGCAGTGTTCTAGATAACTAACCCCTGCTAAAATTCTGATAGCTTTCTTTGGCATTCTAAAAATTTGAAGTGCATTTGTTGAATTGCCCCATGTGATTACACCATAGTTTAGGTGAGAGTGGAATAAAGAAAAATATGTAATTTTTAATGTTTCAATGTTGGCAACCCTTGTCAGATGGCAAATAACAAATAATGAACTTGATAGTTTTTTCTTAAGTTGTAAGAAATGAGCCGACCAATTCAGTCGATTATCTATGGTTATTCCCAATAGTTTAACAGTCTCTTTGTTATCTGGATCATTGTGTAAATTACTTGCAGATATAACCAAATTTTGCGTTTTATCAGAGTTGCGTTTTTAGTTTATTTGCAGCAAACCATGAGCTAGATCTACTAAATCTAACTTCCTGATGAGACATTTTTTAATCGTCATTATTTTTTCCTGTTATAACGTATGTCATATCATCTGCGAATTGTATGGTTTTGTACGGAGCTATAAATTTAGGCAAATCGTTGACATAAATAATAAACAAAAGAGGTCCTAAGACCGAACCTTGTGGGACACCATGTTTTACGGATAGAAAATTTACGGATAGAAAATTGGAGAGATGACCTTTAGACACCACCGCCTGGTGTCTGCCACATAGATAAGAAGTTATAAGCTTCTATAATAATTTAATTTGTGGCGCAAAATGTCGCGTGAAACGCAATCAAAAGGCTTTGACAAGTCGCAAAGAGAAATTGCTATGCGTTTGCCGCGTTCAAGCCCTTCAATCACCTCGATCACAACATTACATACCGCGTTTGTAGTAGAACGAGCACTTCTGAAGCCATATTGTGAGTTGCTAAAGTAATTATTTGACTCAAAATAGGAATAAAATTGTAAAATTTTTAAAAGTAGAAACAATGCTTATGGGTCTGTAATTGTAATTGTCAGTTTTTGAGGAATCACTTGTAGATTGGTAGTACTTTTGAGTATTTTAGTACTTCTGAAAATACTCCAGTTGATAGAATTCAATTAACAAGATGAGTGAAAGGTGTTAAAACTATTTAATAAGTTTCTTGTAAAATTTTGCGATTAATTTCGTGAACGTCCCTACAATTAGAATTGCTAAGAGACTTTATTATTTGAGAGACCTCTTCTTCCACAACGGGACGAAAAAAGACTTGCTCGGAGAAGGATAATTTCTATAATTAAAGAGAACATCGACATTAATAGTGGGAAGAGATGTAATTATATTCTCTGCAATTGTAGTAAAAAAATGATTTATTTCGTCTGGAGGTAGATCAAGTTGTACTGAACTGGACCTTGTGTTGTTTCTTTCGAACTTTACTATTTTCCAGCAGGCTCTAGGTTATTATTGGAGTAAGTAATAAAATTACAGTAAGCTGATTTTTTAACAGTTTTTAATTGCCGATTATATTCAAATTTTTGTTGTTTATATACTTTGAACAAATCGGGAACCTTAGTGGCATCTACAACTTGTTTAATAAGAGATAGCTTAGATTTGTAATACCTTAATTCACTATTAAACGATTGCACGGGTGTTTTTTCAGCAGTTTGTCGTACTTTTATTTTAGTAAAACATGCTTTAATATTAAATTGTTATAAAAAGTTTCGGTAAGAAAAATTGTCAAAAAATCAGGATCATTATTAATATCATAGAAAAAGTCCATATTTGTACTAGCTAGTGCACGTCTAAGCTCCTGTAAACCAGAAGAAGTAATAAATCGTTGAAATGTTTGATTAGTGTCAACAACTTTATGCTCAGAGTCAATAAATTTAAATTGAGCTCGATAGTCAGAAAAACAAAGGTCAAATACGCCCACTCTGTAGATATATTCAAAAAAAATTATCAAACTGTTGTCGATGCAACTATTGGACTGAGATGTGATTCTAGTATAATCGTTTATAGTTACTTTTATACTAAAAAATGTTAATAGATTTTGAATATAAAAAGGATCAGATTAAATTTTAAAATTTATATTAAAATCACCAAGTATGATCAGTTTGTCCGCTTTAATAAGCAAGGACGTTATCACATTCATAAAATTCACCAAGAGTCAGTCACAGTCATCCTTATCTCATTTTTATACAGTTAAAATATTGGTTTTTATTGAAGTTACATAAATTGCACAAAACTCTGAACTTTGCTCTACATTACATTCATTTACATTAAGAGAAGAATACATAAGATTTTCTTTTACATAAATGTGTGTTATGATCCTTTTGTATTTACAAAGCTTACATACGATTTATTTTGGATTACGGAAGTGTTTTGTATGGATCGGCCAGTAATGTACTACTAAACAAAATAAATGTTTTACAGAACTCAGCCCTACGAATATGTTTAGGAGCCATGAGATCCACTCCAGTTTAAGCTTTATGTTTGGAAGCTTTGGAACTCCCTTTAAATATAAGACAAGGGTTTTTGTCCAAAAAATATTTAATGAAAGTGTACTTACTGAACTTATCTCTATACGAAAAGATAGTGACTTTGAATTGCCATGACCTGACAAATAAATATTGACAAAAAAAGAAATCTCCCTTACTTTGCGAAGCGTATAATCAAAATATAGCACTTTTAAAAAATATAGATAGAACGAACCACATATTCAAAAACTACTCTTCCTTATTTTTACATCCAGATATTATGAAATTATGGTGAAAACATATATTTAAATAAAAATATTGTTCTATCTATAACAAGCAAATACAAAGAGGCAATAGCTCTATATACAGATGCGTCTAAATCTCCAGATGGACCCGGATGCGCCTTTTTTTATACCATTGGGACATATAGAAAGGAAATTCAAACTGAACCCGGAGACTTCGTTTTATACAGCGGAGGCTATTGCAATATATAAAGCTTTGTTATATGTAGCTGAAGTTAATTTTGCCCATATTATAATTTTGTCCGACTCCTTAGCAGTGTTAAAATTTATTGGTAAATATGGACCACTAAACTTACAAGACTGCCCATACATTTATAGAATTAAACATATTATTCAAACTCTTTTAACCAAAGGAATCAATGAACATTTTTTCTGGGTTAAAGCACATGCAGGACATGAACTTAATAAATATGTCGACTTATTAGCCAAAGAAAGCATTTTAGCCGATACTGATATTCTACATAAAGTAACGCTTTCTGATAGTATTATTTCTTGAAAGTCAACATTGCTTCGAGAGTGGAGCTACCAGTGGAAGGAATACTCTTTTGTGAATCAAAATAGATACTCGTTAATTCAGCCAGATATTTCCAAATTTCCTAGGTACAAGTCTTCTATGGCGCACCCGGGTGGAAGGGGGTTTGGTGGTTAACCCCCCCCCAAGTAAAAAAATATAAAGAATAGTAGGAAAATGGAACACTTATGAAGTTATGGAAGTATGACCCCAGTATGATCCGAAATATAATCTGAAGTATGATCCGAAGTATAATATAATCTTAATCCAAGTTTATATCCGTTCAATGTTAATCCAACGACGGTATTCGATTCATTTATCTGAAATATGTTATTTGCTTATACTATGATACCTGTGATATTGATATTTCGAATATATTTTGGTTTAGTGAATCTTACGTCAGTTTTATTTAATGACATTTTCGTTTCTCTTTGTTTCGTAAATATTTCATTTCTATATTTTTGTGATTCAAACATTAAAAAATAGTGGCGCCCTTTTTTCTTTTGAAGGGCCGTTATCTTCCCTGTTTCTTTTTTGTTGATGTATGTCTATTCTTTCTTGTGTTGCTCACCTCTAATGACTCCGCGCATAATCTACCAGTACTAAAGATTAACTCTAGATCACTGGGCAAGGTACAGCACGCCGCAGCCCGAGCGCCCATCCTGTCGTAAGCGTATCATTAACGATTAAAAAACAATATTTTAAAATGAAATAAGCCCAAAATAATTATCAGGAAATGATAGAACAAGGTTTGAACTTGAATTTAGGTCCTTGGTGAATTCAAGAATAATATTTTTACTTATGTTTTTGAGCCTTGAAAATCGTAATTTTGCGTTTTTTCGGTTTTAAATTTTTTATAACTAGAAAACGATCAAGTTTATAGAAAAATTACAAGAGACCTATTTTGTTCAGAATGATCAAAAAATTCAAAAAAATTTGTCCTGACCGAAAAAATTTATATTGTTTTGAAGCTATTTTCTTGTGGCATTTTAAATTAATTACTATTTAACTGGGAATAAGCCACAATTAAAGATAAAAATACGTTTATTGACGTTTCAATTTCCACTTCGGAAATCGGTTTGTATTTTGAGAAAGATTTCCAAAGTGGAAATTGAAACGTCAATAAACGTATTTTTATCTATAATTGTGGCTTATTCCCAGTTAAATAGTTGAAGGGGTGAGTGGAT